TTTTTTTTTTTCAACTTGAAATATCTTGACTATATGAGAGGGCGGGGGTGATATGAGCGGTCTGGAGAAAGAACATAGTATTCAGCATCACTTTGTTTAGTTTAAGAAGTAAGCGTACGTGGACGGTAAGAGTCATCTTTACAAAAGTCATTGTGATTGTCGGGGGTGTGCTGGGTAAGGTTGAACGCGAAACATGGCCTTCTTATCGCTTTCGCAGCGCCTCATGTTTCTGAGCATTTTGATTGGTATAGCGTTTGCGCTAGGGTGATCGGATTGTTGCAAAGTGTGATGGACATGCGAACAAGCGGTGGTGGAGATGAGGTTGAGCGGTGAGTCTGATCACTAGACTAGTAGCACTACCACGTGTACATGGAGCAACTAGGCTATTTTGGGAGGAAAACACTAAGGTTGAGTATGATGCGGTTGACTCCTCCGTGACCAATCGATTTGTGCTCACTGGGAGTAGGTTGTTACACAGCTAACTTCCCTGTTTATTGTTGTGATTTTGTATTCTGCGCTGGCGTGTCGCGCTCGTTGACTCGATGTCGCAAGAAGATTAGGAAGGCTTTGTTAATCTTTGGGGGAGTCAGATACCATCCAGCAGGTTCTGAGTATAGGTGTTTCATACTATTGCATTGTATTCTTCCTATCGAGTAGCTCATCCAAGTCCAAGTCAAAATATGATACCAGGCAGTGTAGAGTAGACTCAAGACCAATCTTACCAACACAAGCTTTTGGTACATTTTGATCACAATACCACCTGCCAAGTCGCATCAGACTCTAGTAGTTGAATGTATACCAAGTTTCCACACCCATCCTCAAACCAACATCCGCATACCTTCTCCCGGCTCCTTCGCATCCCGAGAAACAATTTCTTTTACCGCTCATGTGATACCATCGCATTGTGAGTTGGATACTCAAGAACTGATTTGCACACCACCTTTCGTAAGAGATAAGAAAGTACGGGAAGAAGAAGAAACGAAAGAGGGGGAAGGCAAAGAGTAGTGGATAAGATCCGATGAAGATCGTCATTTTGAAACAGGGCTGATCGGTATCTTCGCCAGGGACTAGATGATTACTTTTGGATCGTCGCGGTAGTACCCCTGTCGTGTTACCCGCGATGTGGAGACTTTGCTTTTTGAGGCTACGTGTATGTGTATGTGTGTATGTTAGGTACTTCTACATACAACGTATGCCATACAATAAAATGAATGAGTGGAACGAGATGGTTGGGCGCTTCTTAATAAATGATCATGTGATATGGGAATAGGAGATCTTTTGTTTGAACTGAACATAGCAGTCATTTAATGGCCAGTAGTATACTTGAACACAAAAAAGAAGAAGACGGTCTATCTATACTTTTAGGTAAACATGAAGGGATGGAGACTACGTTCATCTCTGGTTATTCGCCAAATCCGTCCAACTATGACAATTTACTCTGATTGCTTGATACTGAACTGGTAGTCCATTCAAGTTCACCAGCTGTTTCTTCGCAAAAGCTTACTATTTTGAGGTTTGACTAACTGCTCGGATACGGACCGAATACAAGGTATTAACTTTGGTGGCGAAAAGCCCGTTCGTACTGTGTAAGGTGGGTCGCCTGGTCGACGCAAGGGCCATTCGTCTCGACGAGCAAATAGTGGGATGCGAGATCTTGCCCATTCTGGCGAACGTTCTTCATCGTGCTGAACATATGTTGAATTTATTTCCGAAGGACATTTGTGCGTGGATGGTTCACGTGTTGGCATGACTGCTCCATGCGCTTGCATATTGCTTTCAAGAACAGCCCTCTGGGCCTCAACAGCCCACGATGGATCCCAGACGTCAACTTTCACAATGTGGAATTCGCTCAAAATGAGCTCGCGCCGAACCAACTGTCTGGTGTCATTCAAGCTGTCCACGTACGCTGTGATGAGACCGCGCAGACTGAGATTCATGTCGCGAAAACAACGACCGACGTGCCCTTGGTTGAGATGGAATTCCAAGACATGTGCCAACTCGGTTTGGGCTGCATCTTGTGCTTGCTCAAGGGTGTTAAAGATTCCAATGTTGTGTGCCAAGGGCAGGGCGTGGGGGTTGGAGATATCGTTTGAGTAATGAAAGACTTGAAAGCCTAGTCGTGGGGTACGGAAGTGCAATTCAATACCGGAAAAGTCCATGAGGGTAACTATTGTGCAGCAGGTATGATGGAGTGTCTACCGGGAAGCCGTAATATGAAGGCTGCTTAGGCGCAAGGTATTGGGTGGCCACCATGAGACAAATGGTTTGTTCCAACCGTACTGTCCTTTCTTTGCATGCATGTCTCTTGTTTGGTGCAATCTGGAGTTGCATTGTTTTCGACATTCAGTATACAAAATCTGATTCACCATCTGCGTTTGCCGACCTGACACGGAAACTGGGGCGAGTTAGAAGGGCAGAGTTTGATTGTTGGGCGGCGCAGCATTTGTCAAGCGTAGTATGTGATACTGCTAGTGTGCTAATTGTTGCCGCACCGTGGTACCTGCCTCAGGCTATCGCCATCCGCAGTTGCAAAGACCGTGGCCTAGACGCAACCCGAACCCAGGCCAGGGCTACAGGGGCAATGTGAAGGCTCGTCTACAAAGTCAACTTTTGCCTAATGCCATGGTGTGCATATATCTATGTGTCATTGGTAAAGAGGACAGTTGACTGGTGAGAAATCATCTCGCAACTGCACCCCCCAAACGGAACATTGCTTGCAGTGCGGCATATTGGTGGAGTTTGCACGGCTGGGAGATGAAGGCATATGATGTGGATGCAAAGTGATTAGCCGACGACGTGTTCATCCGGATGCACAGCGCGGGTGTGCAGCAGGGATGGCAGATTTTCCCCTGAGCGCCCCGTTTTTTGGATCAGGATCGAGGGCAAACATGGTTTTCTTTACAAAGATTTGTTTGGCAAGACAAGATGACCAGGGGTGTGTGCAGCGGTATGCATGCAATGACCTTCAAGGAAGATGCGGCTGGCGATGGAGATTGCCAAGTCGATGCAAAGTGGGTCCTCGGGAACCCACGATCGTGTTTGTTTTTGGAAGTCACATGGGGATAAGGAGCAGGAGCGCACAAAGTAGCGGCGATGGTCGCACCAGTCGCAGATTTCGGATCGAAGCCATGGTGGGCCAGGGTCCCGAAAGCCGCAGGACGTTACCCAAGGAAAAAGAAAAAAAATCGACGAGGATGCGGCGAGGGGATCAAGGGGAGGGTGCAGGCACAGGAGCTGGTGAAGGAAGCCATGGAACAGCTAGATGTACATTAGCGCATTTCCACTCATGGACCAGTCGGCGAAGCAGAAGCGATTGGCACTAGATGAAAACTAGATGAAAACTAGATGAAAACT